AAAAAATCAGTCAGTTGTTACCTCATTTAAACATTCCAAATCCCCTTGCTGAGGGAGTAAAGCTGGCTTGCCTCGAGAAACAAGTGGAGATAGTATGGTTCCGAGGGCAAGTACTGGGCACTGAATAGGAAGGCTTCTTGCTATTTTAAGCGACTCTCTCTCAGTTCCCTATAACTCATGGAATTTTATTTTAGTGTGAATACATCTGTGGAAAGATTCTCAAAAGAAAGTAACAGTTAAGGAGCGGCTTCCTGCTGGGCTGTGGTGCTGCAGGCCTTTAATCCCAGCACTCCCAGGAGAGAGAGGCAGGAGGATCTCTGGCTTTGAAAAGTCCAGCCTGGTCTACAAAAGTTGTTCTAAGACAGCCAGGGACACACAGAAAAACCCTGTCTCATAAAAACAAACAAACAAACACAACATCAACAACAACAAAACAGCAAAGGAAAAAAAGAAGCGGCTTCATGCTAGGCCTGGTAGCACAGGCTTGTAACCCAGTTACTTGGGTGGTCCAGACAGAAGTATCACAAGTTCAAGACCAGCCTGAGCAACCAAAGGAGACTGTCTCAAAAAAAAAAAAAAAAAAAAAGTAGAAAGAGTGCAGCCTGGGGCGCACTGGGTCCCAGGTTAAAGCCTGCAAGTGGAAAAATGAAGACAGAAAGAGGGAGAAAGTTTAGGGAAGAGGGGAGGAGCAAGCTTCTTTCTTATGCCAAAGGGCAATGGTGAGGCAGAAAAGGAGAGGCCAGTGAATGTGAATGGCAGGTGTAGGGGAGAGAGGCAGAAAGAGGGGGGCTGCTGGCTTGGCTCTGCCCTTGCAACTACAGACCTCACAGGATAACACCAAGGTCAAGGAAAGTGGGCACATGGCTTCCTTACAGTGTCATGAGTGTCACTTGTGTCCTGTGGCCACACTATGGCTAACGTGTCCCACTGAGGCAGGCCCTCCTGCCAGCTGAGCTACCTGCCCTGCTTGATCTTTGTGCACAGGACGCAGAGCCGGCCGCGGGGGGTGGGGCATCCAGGTGGGGTGGCCAGCAGCCTCCTTGACTGCTTAGAGACCCATCTATTCTTCCCAGACTTGCCTGAGCTGGGAGTCTCTTCCAGCATAATTGAATATTAATGCATCTGCAGGTATATTCTGCCAACCTTAGTGGGTTGTGTTCGTCTGTCTTCTCCGATGGGCCTGTTGGAAGCAGTCTCAAAATCCAGTAGTTCTCAGGGTGGAGGGGGGAGACTCAGTGGAAATGAGCTCACCAGGCAGAAGAACCCAAGTTCAGATTCCCAGATCCACTAAAAAAACCAGCACATGTCTAGAATCCTAGCCCAAGGGGGGTAGGAGGTGGGCAGAGATGGGAGGATCCTTAGAGCATGGTGGTTGGCCAGGCTAGCTGAGCCAGTGAGCCCCAGATTCTGTGAGAGACCCTGTCTCAAAAAAGTGAGGTGGGGCGCCTCCGGAGACACGGAGGTGGATCTCTGGCCTCCACACACACGTGAGGATTTTCTCCCCCTTTCTGGTAAATTCCAGGCAAGTGATGTTCGGTGACACACACACTCGGTCGTCGGAAGGATGTGGGACCGAGTGAGTCTCACAGGGTCTCTCTGCTACAGCTCAACGGAGCACCTGACCTGCTGTCTCCTAGGTGTCACCTCACATCAGAAGGGACACCCCAACGAAGTGTCAGACAGACACTCTGCTTCTCCCTCTGGGCCCTCCTCCTCCTTCCCTTTTCTCAGAGTGTGGGTGAGAAGCTCAGAGGTGGTGAGGGGGTTTTTGTTGTGCTCTCGGAAACTTTTCTTTCCCTTTCTTTTTTCCTAAACATAATGTAATTTTTTTTTTTTTTTGACGATGGAAAATAAGCATTCTCAGTCCAGAGGATAGGAAGACCCCTCTGCTCTGCTTTGCGTTCCTGTACAAACCGTCCCCAAGGTTAGCTTCCGCATAAGGATATATAGTGAACTCTGTTGGAGACCTCATCCAGGGAACTCCACATTTCCCACACGTCAAGTGACTGGCCACGCACATAGCATATGCATTCGCTTACATTTTTATTCAGTGTTAGGGTTTGTAGTTGATGTTGGGGAAGTGCATCTGTACCATGGTTTGGGGGTAGAGAGCGAATGACACCTTTGTAGAGTGGGTTCTTTCCTTTATGTTGGTTTCAGGGCTCACACTAACACCATCAGCCTTGCACAGGAAACAGCTTCACCCACGGAGCCGTCTCACTGGCCAGAGCAGTCTTATCTTTTTATTTTATTATATTCATGTATATGTGTTTATATGTATATATATATGAGCGCTTTGCTTATGTACATGTATGCACAGCACAAATGAGCCCGGTGCCCATGGAGGTTAAAGGAGAGTCTTGGATCCCCTGGAAATGGAGTCACAAATGTTTGTGAGCCACCGTGTGGGTACTCAGGATTAAACCTGGGTCCTCTGGAAGAGCAGCGATTACCCTTAACTGAAGAACCATCACTCCAGCCCTTTGGTGTTTTGGTTTTTGTTGTTGTTGTTTTAAGTGTAGTTTCTACGCAGCCATCCTTTTGTGGGCCTCAGAAGGGAAGTGTGAGTCGTTCACCTTCCCTAAAAAGTAAGAATTCTTGAAAATAAGCCATGGAATCTGTGAGACAGAAGGCTGAAACGATCATGTTTCAAAACTGTAGTTCAAAAGAGGCCTGTGGTCACCCTGCTGCCTTGGCCCTTCCACACTGCAGGGATTGCCATTGTCCGGGGCACTCTCTCCTTTGCTGTCTCCTGCTATGATCTCACTATGTGTTAGATCCCTCCAGTGCCCCTGGTTTCAGTGGAAGCTGTTGCATGACTTCTCTGTCCCCAGCTTTAAAGTCTTTTATTTTAGAAGCAGAGGAGTCTGGAGACAGGGAAGTTTGTGAAAGATAAAACAAGCAGGAAACAGGAGTGGACACTATCATGCTGGCTGATCCCTGATTTGGAAAGAGGGAAGGAAGAAGAGAAGGGTCTAAAATAGCAGGACACTCTATTAGCAGGGACTTTGGGGGATCCTGACTTGGGCAAAGGAGCTCACACCCAGTGGCTGATGGCCTTCACCTTCCAAGAGAAGCAGGGCAGGCCTTTAAACCAGCTGTGGGCTGGCTGTGCAGCACACCGCTTGCCTTGACCCTTTAGTGATGCTTTTCTTGTTATTTGCTGTTATTACTGTGTGCATGTATGTGTGATGTGTACAATGTTTGTATGTGCGTGTGAAGGTCAGAGAGCTTCTATGAAGTCAGTTCAGTACTCTCCTTCCACTTTTTTGTATGCCTTGGGGATCAAGCTCGGGCCAGCGTCACCGGCTGAGCCATCTCAACGGTCTGCTAGTTCACTTTTTTTCTTTTCTCTGGCTTGGTCCTTTGACAAGCAAAGTGACTCTTCAAAGTTGGCCTGTGCGTGCCACAGTCCCCACCTCACAGCTGCTGCCCTCAAAGAACCATTTCCTGCCTATACCCTACCTGCCCTCTCCATGTTTCAGTGTTGCTTCAGTGCTGGGGTGCAAGCCAGGGCCTTGCAGGTGCCAGGCAGCTCCTACCAGAGAGGCACACTCCCAGACCATGGCCATTCTTAAACCAGCTTGTTGTAGATTTGAACTCATTTAGCAAGTTAGACTTAAGCCGAGGGGGCAGGCTGTGGAGATGTGACAGTGACAGCCTCCAGGGTGACAGGATCTGAACCCCGATGCACTGTCTCTGCTAGGTGGCCTCGGGCACAGAGTCCTCCAAGCTCCGCTGGTGTTAAGTGCCTCAGAACTCTCATAATGAGGGCCCCCTTCCCCAGGTCTGACACTTGACTTTCTGCAGCTTTGTATCTTCCATAAACTGGAAAAATAAAAATCAAAAGCACGGCGGATGGACAGGCGGACTTTCGTCATACAGGGACTGTGCCCACCCAGCCTGCAGAAGAGGTTCAGGCTCCGACACAGGGAAAATGAAGGTGCCAGGACGGAGCTGTGGCTGCAGCTGGTCTTGCTTAGAGCCAGGACAGGACACTACCCCGTTTCCTCCGGCTTCTGCTGAAAGTAGGATGGTGTGGGCCTGTCAACTCTTCCGGCACGAGCCTCCTGCCCCTGCTTGTTATCTTCCCTGCCTTCTTCGAGGCCCTCTGCCAGTGGATCCAGCACTGCCCCCCAGCTTTTCACTGCAGCCAGGGGAAAGCAGACTCAACCCATTTTTTTGGGAGGGGGGCGCATCATTAGCCTATTTGCCTCGAACTCCTTACAGTCCACTTTCCCCCTCGCCACAGAATACAAATAGTAGCCACGGCAGAAATCAAAGTCCTGGTGACTGTGTGTGGCCACCCAGCTGCTTGCTCTCCACTTCTTCTAACTCCTCCACTCACCCACCCTCACACCCTTGCCTGGGGCTTCCCACACTTCTCTTCCTCTGCTGACAGGCCCTCTCAACACTCTATCTGACTAAGTTCTCACCCCCCCCCCCATACCCATTGTTCCAGGAGACTTTCCCTAAGCCCTGTCCTACCACAACTTCCCCATAGAAGGTATGGCTTCTTAAAATTCCCCATATTTTCTTTTCCATCATGCTCAAGAAGCCTCTTGTCTGCGTCTGTGGATGAGACGTTTAGTTCTGTGGAGTCTGAATACAAACCAGCCTTATCCATAAGAAGGTACATTACAAAGATCAGAAACTGTCATGTTTACCATGGTGTCTTCAGAGAGCCCCTGACAGGGGTACATTCATATTTGTATATGTTCTGATGGGTAACTGGATGGATGGATGGATGGATGGATGAATGGATGGATAAACGGACGGACGGATGGATGGACCGACAGATGTCTCCAACTGTAGTGCAGATCAGCCTCCTCCTCCAGCTGAATAGGGTTTACACACTGATTCTTGTGGGTGCACAGGGTCTCCTCTGCAATGAGGTCACCCCTGTTCTTTGTCTTCATGGCCCTAAGCTCCTCCTGCTTTTGCCTTCCAAATGCCTGTTCCTCTCTTTTTGTTTTTCTGACTGTTTCATGGAGTTGAGGATGTGCAAAGGTGGCCATGGAGACTTCTATCTGAGGGTGAGGTCAGACGAAGGGTGGGGAGGAAGCCTGCCAGCAAAGGAAGAGACACGTGTGAGGTTCCAGGGAGGGCTTGAGGATGTGTGAACACGGGAGTTAGAGGAACTGAAAAGTGACCAGTTGTCTGGGTGGCCATACAGTTCTCCCACACTAGGCCTGGTGACATACATCTGTAGCCCCAGAATTTAGGAGGTAGACAAAGGAGGATCAGAAGTTCAGCTATTTAGGGAATCTAAACCAGTGTGGGCCATATAAGATCCTGTCTCAAAACTGTAGGGACTTCTAGAGATGACTTCGAGGTTAAGAGCACTGGTTGTTCTCCAGTAGGACCAGGGTTTAATTCCCAGAACCCAAATAGTAGCTCACAGCTGTCTGTAACTCCAGTTACAGGAAGATACAATGTCCTCCTCTGGTTTCCTAGGGTACCAGGCATGCACACGGTGCAAAGATCTACGTGTAGGTAAAAACACGCATATACATAAAATAAAAACAAAAATGAGAGTAAAGAATAAACCAAGGATTATCTAAAACAAGCAATCAAAACAAACAAACAAACAAACAAAAAAAACCCCAAAAAACATAAAACTCAATCTAGCAAGAAAGGAACAGACATGATATTTGTGTACATATATATAATGATATATTATAATAAATATATGTAATAGAAAAACACCTTTGGGCTAGTGAGAAGACTCAATGGGTAAAAGGTGTTAAGGGGACCTGCTGCCATCCTCTTGACCTGAGTTCTATCTGGAGAACACACTGCAGAAAGAACTAACTCGAGAACATTGTCCTCTGATCTCCACATGCGTGCTCTGGTGCACATGCCACCACACACACGCACATATATGCACACAAAGCAAAACATGTCTATGTTTTAAAGTAAGAACACGTCTCCTGTTGTGCATGAAATCTAGCTGCCTGTGTGCCCGTAAGCAGAGATAGACGTGTGTCATTTAAATGTCCCTGCCAATGTTGCCAAATTAACACGCTATTAAAGAACAGCTTGTGAGCCACCCTCAGTGACCGCTGGACGGCTGTCAGGTTCTGTAGCTGTGCCTGTTGACTGCTTCCATATGCTGGTTTCCAAAGGACTGAGCATGATGGTGCCAGGAGCTGGGTGTACAGAGATGACTTACTGCTGCCATCACACCAGGAGCTGCTGTGGTGTCTCCTCTCCCTACAAGACAACTGGCCATGACTTGCCCCACCGGGTTCTTCCCGAGGGCCTTCATGTGGGATCAACCCTGCATCTAGGGAGGCAGCCTTTGCAGAGGTGACCCTTCAGTTGAACACCAGTCATGCAAATTGGTGGGGAAAGAGTGTTCTGGGTGTATGGAACGGTGAGGGAAAGGTTCCAAGCTTTCAAGAAACAGTATTGTTGGAAGACCATCAATGAGGGCAGGAGCGGTATGCCTGAGGGCTGACCATGGGGGACTCAGAGCCACCCACAGAGCTAAGCTGGTATCCTAGGTGCACTTGTGAGCAATTCGAGTTTTTGGACAGGCTTAGGTGTACGTGTGTGTGTGTGTGTGTGTGTGTGTGTGTGTGTGTGTGTGTAATATTATTTCCCCTGCAGACTAAGAAGGGATTTGTGAGGAGTGGGTCAAAATAGATGGGAAGAGATCCATGGAGCCAGTGATTAGATCTCCCTGCTCCCCATCTCTTGACCTGTACAATGGAGACAAGACAGCCCTTGGGGGCTTGTGATATAAAATGTCTGAGCACCCAACTCAAATAGCGTCTCATTCCACATAATTCAGCCTGTTCCAAGAATTCCCACCTGGGCTTCATTGCTCTTCTGGCACTGTTACTGCTGGCGGCTCATTTTGACCTTTTGAGACAAGGCCAGGACTCCCTTAACCTCCTAGTTCGCCTGCTTCCCCCGCCCAATGCTGGAATTGGTTCCAGGCATGGCCACCTTGCCCAGTGTTTTATTCCTCTTGTGTAACAACTTTCATTATCTCTGCTATTAAAATTTGGTGACCTAGGCCAGGAGATTTTTGTTATGTTTGTTGCTTACCTAGCACGCCTGAAGCTCTGGGTTTCATCTCCAGCACTGCAATTAATTATAATAATTGATTGCTCGAAGTATCCAAAGACACTCTGCGCTATTTATAAAGGGACACGTGCTGTGACAGAGTTAGAGATTACTCTGCTTTTGAAGATGGGGCCAGGCAGCAAGCAGTCAGTTGGAGGAAACCATATCTCAGGAAGGAGGCAGCTGCTAGGGATCCAGCACAGCTGTGGGTTCCTGCTTGGATGAGCCTAAGGACCCATTGTTCTCTGTAAACACCCCTGCCTCCCCGAGTGTCCAGACCCGGAAGAAGCCACTGCTGTCTGGACAGTGTGGCTCAGCTGCTTTCAACAACTGCTCCCTGGCTGCATGGTTCACTGTGGCAGGCCTCCCTTCAAAAATGCTCTAAACAGATTTCACAAGAATGTGAAAGCTGGCTTTTTATTTTCCCAAAATAGATAGTTAAGTTATAATTTTCTGTCCTCTCTCTCTTTTTTTTCCCTCCTCCCATTGAGACAGGGTCTTCATAGCCCATGTCTGAAATTTACATTATAGCCCAAGGTGGCTTTAAATTAACAGTAATCCTTCTGCCTCAGCCCCCTGAGTAATAGGATTACTAATAAGTAGCTTTCAGTGAGGTAAAATTGTGAATCTCCAGCAGATATAAAGTAAGTTGCCAGGCACGGTGGCTTGCTCAGACACACTATCCCTGCACTCGAGGATGGAGACAGGAGGATGGGATGTTTAAGGTCAGCCTGGACTGCAGAGAAGCAATGTTTAAAAAATCAAACAGAAACTAGAAAGTATCTTGTCGATTCACTAAGTCTGAACCTTTGGCCAACACACCAGGAGAGTCTATAATCCTACCATTTAGCATATCAACCCAGCTGGTTCCTGTGAAACCATGATGTCACATTCCAGAGTGGTGTCCCTGTATCTTCTGGTCCCCTCCGAGAGTGAGCATTCTTTCTAAATATTGCTTAAAGTGTCAGCACGGTATCACAGAAAGGCCCCTCATCTCCCACTTTAGACATAACTAGGTGCCCTCCTCTGGCTTTTTTTCCTCCTAAAAACTCATCAGTCCCTACAGCATGTGGTTCTGCCCTGTCCATCACAAAACCAACAAATGGCTAATGTGGACCCTGAGAACACATTAGCTGAGAGGGAGGCGGGTTGTTGTCCTCTGTTACATATGAACATGGACACGGGAAGATCCTAAACGGGCTGGAAGAACCAGTTTGGTTTGCAGAGATTTTTTTTTTTTTCAAGAAATAGCACTCAAGAAGAGTTTAGAAGAATGTATGGTATTTCAGCAGATATAAAATAAGTTGCCAGCCAGTTAAAAGGCTGCTTGAATGTCCGGGGGTAGAAGGAAGAGCATATGGACAGGACTTCAGCACTCAGAGTGATCATGGAAGGCTGGTGAGGAAGTGTGGGAGATAGAAAATTCACAAAGGGCTTGGAAGGTTCTGGACCTTAAGGATACCTAGGCACTGAAGGATAGTTAAGGGGAGTGACACAATCGAAATTGGTGTTTCTAAAAACTCAAGCGCAGGGGTCAGTGGCATATGGCAGCAGTGTTTGATAAATATTTGCCGAACTTGACGAACTTGACGGAAGATGTGTTAACACACGAGGAGAGCAGTCAGAGTCCAGGAGTACTAAGCCAGTTCTCTGCTTTACAACTTAATGTTGGAAAGTCCCTGGGTTTGTGGTTTACCGTGGGGGACAAGGGAAATCTCTGCAGGCATGCTATGACTCCACAAGACTCATTACCTGTCTAGGAGAATAAAATTTGAGGTAGGGTGAGCAGGGAGGTTAGCCACTCCCCTAGATGAATAGAAGCCACCCACTCACTGGGCAGTTTGGAGAGTCTGAGCGTTTCCAAGAATAGGTAAGGAGCGCCTCGAAGGGCTGCAGGGACGGCTCAGCAACGAAGAGAGCTTGCTGCTCTTCCAGAGCGTCTGAGTTTGGTTTCTAGCACCATGTTAGACGCTTACACCTGTCTGCTGCCTCTTTGATCACCCTCAAGCACTTCAAACAACACCCCCATACACACACACACACACACACACACACACACACACACACACACACAAACACACACACGAGAAAAAATTTTTGTAAAGCATTTCAAGTGTTAAACAAGCATGTCCCAGACATAAAAAAAAAAAAAAAAAAAAGGAGTCCTAGGCAGGCTTTCCCAGTGGGAATGATCAAAACCTTGCCACAGTGCTGCCATCTTTCTCACTGTGTGCCAACCACAGGTGAGCAAGCACTCTGCCACTGAGCTACATTCCTAGCTGTTTACTGTTTTTTGAGGCAGGGCTCACTAGGTTGTCCAGGCAGATCTTGAACTCTCAATCCTCCTGCCTCAGCTTGCCAAGTGCTGGAACTGCAGGTGTGAGCCACCAGCTAACAAACATCCCTCAAGCTTCTCCTCTATGTTTGGGCCTGAGGCTGGTTGCTGGGAACAGAGTAATAGAGTAAAAAAAAAAAAAAAAAAAAATCTATTTATCCCATATATGTGTATAGATACATATGCATGCAAAACCATTCAATTCTAGTAATAAACCCATTCATAGGAATTACTATTATTCTCATTTTATCCATAAGGAAACTGAGGTTCAGACAGGGTAAGTATTGTGCTCAAGGGCGCACAGCTAAGAATTTCAAGCCAAAGGTGGTATACATGGGGCTTTGACACAGCTGTGTGTCATCATGCAGCTGGAAAACACATAACTACAAGGGCCATAGCCTTCACAGATTTTTAAAAGGGCTTATTAGGGCTACTTACTTTGCATTTGGAGGTGTAGGCATTGCCTCCCAGAGGATATGGCATCACCAGAACCCTGGAGGATAGGAAGGATAAGTCAGGTAAAGGGCAGATCCAGAGCCTCCAAGGGAGGGGCATAAAGGCAGCTTAGGGGCTTGTGCTGCAGTTTCTTGGTGGCCTGGTGCAGCCACGGGCAACAACTGTAACAGCACATTCTCTCCTCCAGACCCTGTTGGCCAGGGCGCTTTATGACAACCACCCTGATTGCTCCGACGAGCTGGCTTTCTCCAGAGGGGACATCCTGACCATTGTGGATCAAAATGTGCCAGAAAGCGAGGGCTGGTGGAAGTGTCTGCTTCATGGGAGGCAAGGCCTGGCTCCCGCCAACCGCCTCCAAGTCCTCAAAGAGATCCCTGGAGACAGACCCTGTCCTCTGCTCCTGAGAAGCCTGGACACAGATCTCACCAGCTCAGAGGCGTCTTACCCAGTGCCTAACTTGTCCTGCCCCCAGCCCCCGGGTCCTGTGTATGAGCCGATGAAGAGTTGGGTGGAGGGCCTGCCACAGCCGGCTACTGCCCAACTCTATGAATTGCCTGACTCACCTTCCAGTGCCAGGATCATCTGTGAAAAGACTCCGAGCTTCCCCAAACAGGTGAGTGTGTCTCCAGATGAAAGCATGGGTAAAGGGTACGGGAATACCCAGGGGCTTCAAGACACCCCAGTCATTGCCATTTATCAGACCAAATGTACACAACAGGACCCCAGAGCCCTACTGACTAAGGCCTTGCTCCATTTCAGTCACACTCCCAGCAGCCTTGTGACTGCCCAGCTCACCAAGACTGACCAACCCCATGGAGGTGTGTGCAGGAGCGTGTTGGCTATTCATGGGAGCCCACATCACGGAGAGCGTTAGAGACAAGAGAGACAAATGATGGGTTAATTCACACAAGACCTGCATGGGCCTTCACCCAGGCAACTGACCTGTAAAATTGCTGCAGAAACACACAAGAGGACAGATAGACATCAGAGAGGCTGGGGAGTCGCCACGTTGGCGCAAGGGAAAACCCACAAGTCTCCCAAGTGTTCGTGTGGGAGAGTGTTGGTTACAGACACTTTGAAAGGTATTGTCCCCCCCCTCCTTTACTTATTCACTGGGGAGCAGAGCATGCCTGGGCCACTGCACACGTGTGCAAACAGATGGCAGGTTCAGGAGCTGTTTCTTTTCTTCCTTCCACATGCAGGTCCCAGGAACAGGCTTGGTGACAAGTGCATTCATCTGCTGATCTATCCCTACTACACCTCCAAAACCTACCCCAGAAAACCATCTTTTGTTTCTGTCATCTCAGGGCAAACCACTACACAGGGATAAGAAATGGGGTGTTTCTATGTGGTTGGCCTAAAAAGCAAGACAGAATCTTTTAACCAAAGACTAGGGGGAAAAAAACCATCAAAACTCTCTCTCTCTCTCTCTCTCTCTCTCTCTCTCTCTCTCTCTCTCTCTGTGTGTGTGTGTGTGTGTGTGTGTGTGTGTGTGTGTGTGTGTGTGTGTGTGT